AGGGGCACAGCCAATGGGGAAGGGGCAAGCAGGGCTTTCCAGTTTCAACCTAATGCCCCTTAACTCCCAATACTGAGGATGTGGGGGAAATGGAAGAGGAGGTTCAGCAGCATCTCAGGAGTTAAATCCAGAAAGGAGGGCTGAAAAAGTTGGGGGGATATCTGCGGAGCTGGCAGAAGCACGCAAGATACCTGGGTGGGAGATGGAGGTTACGGGAGAGATGCCAGGCATAGCACACACAAATGTTCTTGGACGTATGGACAAAGACAGAGGAATAGAGCCAAGCTCAGAGACCAGATATTCAGTCCCCACTTTGACCCCCAGCCAGACTCCAAGAAAGGAGGCAGAGATTGCAGAAAATGAGAGAGAGGAAGTGAGAGAGACAGAGAGAGAGAGAGAGAGAGAGAGAGAGAGAGAAGGCAGCCACACTGCAGAGACAGAAACCCAGAGAGAAAGCCAGGCACTGCAGGAGCAAGGGCTAGAAGGTGTTGCCAGACCCTCCTGCAGAGCCTCAGAGCTAAAGGGAGATCACTACTGAGGTGAAAAGGCAGTCAGCACTGATACCCCCCCCCCCACTGCATGCACTCTGAGGCGCTATCCTGGGTTTGTACCAGCTAAGATGCTCACTGAAGGCTCACACAGCCTGAGGGGAGGGTTGCTGGTTGGGGGGGAGGGGGAGAAGAAGAGTACCAGCCTGTGAGGGGCAGCTGGGAGCCCCTCCCCCGATCTTGGCTCTCAGCCCAGCCTGGGACCCTCTGAGTCCCTGCAGCTGATGAAAGAGGGAGGAAGAGCTCTGGAAAAGATCTCTCTGGAGGCGAAAAGGATGTGAAGGGGTGGAGAGGCTCACACATCTTCCCCTCCTAGGTCTGCCCCTGAAGGAGGAGGAGACATTGCCAGAGCCTGGAAGTGAGACCCCTACCATAGCCTCTGAGGCCCTGGCTGAACTGATCCATGGGGCCCTGCTGAGGAGGGGCCCAGAGATGGGCTACCTGCCGGGTGAGGCTCCTAGAGTGGCAGGAGTGGCCTAGAGGCCAAAGGAGAGACACGGGCTCAGGGAGATGGGGAGGCAGGCTAGGGAGAGAAACAAACAGAGAGAGGCTGCAGAGGGGGCAAGATCCCGTAGGAGCCAGTGGAATTCAGAGGTAGACAGAATGAGGCAGTTGCAGAAAGAGTCAAACCTGGGCATAGACAGAACCAGAGAAATAGAAACAGAATGATTAAGAGACAGTCAGACAGAAAAACAGACACACAGAGAGAAAGACAGATGGAAATTGAGAGAACCAGAATCAGAGAAATGGTGGGAGAAAGAGAGAGAGAATGAAATACAAAAACTAGTCGATCCAGAATCATAAAATCAAAGAGTGATAAGAATACTAAACAGTGAAATGAAGAGTTCAAGAGAGAGCAAGACAGAGGAGAGAGAAAGGTAACTAGGAGAGAAAGCTCAAGGAGAGCATGGGGTGGAAGGGCCTGGGTGGAGGGGAGGGAAGAGAAAGGGGTCAGTCTGTGGAAGCTTTGGAGGTTGCATGCAGTTCTGGTGGGATGGGAAAACTGGGTGGCCTGTACTTTTGGGGGGGAGGGTTTTTGGATTCAGTAGGGGAACCTCCAGTTACCTTCAGCCCTGCTCCCCACCTACATGTGCGCCTCCTGTACCCTGACTCCCCTTGCATTGTCCCAGGATCTGATCCAGACCCTACGCTGGCCACCCCTCCAGCCGGCCAGACTCTCGCAGCACCTTCCCTGCCATGGGCCACTGAGCCAGGAACAGGGCCCCTGACAACAGCCGTAACCCCTAAGGAGGTCAGAGGGGCAGGCCCCACCGCGCCAGAGCTGTTGACCCCGCCCCCAGGAACCACGGCCCCACCCCCTCCAGGCCCCGCCTCCCCAGGCCCGTCCCTGGGGCCTGAAGGAGGAGAGGAGGAGACCACGACCACCATCATCACCACGACAACTGTCACCACTACAGTGACCAGCCCAGGTGAGGCGATGGCAAGGAGATGGGGATTGTGTCCAGGAGCATGAACGTGGGAGAGGAGGATGGATGGAAGAGAGGCTAATGGGAACCATGGAAGGAGTACTGGGTAGAGAGGGGAGAGGAGCCTCTGTTTAATAAGGAGGCCTTTGATCCTAGCTCAGGTAGGTGGAATCCTTGAGTTCAGGAGTTCGAGACCATCCTGAGCACAAGCAAGACCCTGTCTCTACTAAACATAGAAAAAAACTAGGCAGGCATCATGGCTGGTGCCTATAGTCTCAGCTACTCAGGAGGCTGAAACAGAAGGATCAATTAAGCCTAGGAGTTGAAGGTTGCTATAAGCTCAGCAGACGGCACTCTAACCTGGAAGACAGTGAGACTCTGGCTCAAAAATAAATAAATAAATAACAAAGGCTTGTGTTTACATACCCTTGCTACTATTAGGCACCCTTCTGTGTTTCAGTTGGGGAAGGGAGTTCTGGGTACAGGTGGGAGAGGAAGCATTGGATAAAGATGGTGAGGGGTGCTCAAGAGAAGGCAGATGAGAACCTTCAGAGACACTTGGCAGGGAGGAGTGGCTAGTGTGGGGTCTGGATCAGGTCCTGGGTTCTCTCAATCCCAGCCACTTATATCTCTTTAGTTCTGTGTAATAACAACATCTCCGAGGGTGAAGGGTATGTGGAGTCTCCAGATTTGGGGAGCACCACCAGCCGCACCATGGGGCTCCTGGACTGCACTTACAGCATCCACGTCTACCCTGGATATGGCATTGAGATCCAGGTACATGGACCAAAGCATGTGACTATGAAAATTCCAAGCCTTTTCCTCTGGGCCTGTGGGTGTGGACAGGTTTGGCCTAAGAGCAGAGAACCTGAATTATGACT